GAGAGATTCCAGTACTTCTCCATCAAGTAGTCCAAGCACCAGTCCAAGTTCCAGGCCGAGCTCATCTCCCACAGACAGTGCTCGTCCCAGCGGCATTCCAAGCCACAGTCCCAGCACAAGCCATCAACCATCCTACACACCAAGTTCTCTGCCATCTGCCACACCAAGCTACTTACCATCCAGCACCACAAGCTCGAATCCAAGCAACTTGCCGAGTGGAGCTCCCTCAGTGAGTACTGAGCCTAGTGGTCAACCGAGCTACAATCCAAGTGCTAGCCAGGCACCTAGCAATGGTCCGAGTTCCATCCCAAGCTTATTACCCAGTGTTTCGCCATCAAGAGTACCTTCAGTTCCGCCCTCCTCAGTGCCTTCCATGACTCCTTTTGGGGTGACAGATTTTTCTATTTATGAAGCCATGAATGACGGCGCACCTGTTGCTTCTCATTTCTCAGAGGATCAAGGCATTACAGTGCGCAGTGACATTCTTGATCTTGGGATAGAGGCTACAGTTGACGATGTTGAAGTGACCAGTGTGATTTTTACTATCCGAAACATTGCTTCTTCAGCCTTTGGAGAGCAAGGTTCGGCTGATTGGGATCTCGGAGTATTTTGGAGACCACCTGATGACTGGGGTGTAACTATTCAAGTCACAGCCACCCCATACAAGGGCAATGTGGCTGGTACTCCTCTGGTCGTCCTCATCACAGTCTACCCACCTTCGGCCTCTCCTTCATCTGTGCCTTCGGCCGTGCCTTCAGACGTCCCATCATTTGGACCCTCCAACTACCCATCAATTGGACCCTCAGACGTCCCATCAACTTCACCTTCGGTTGTACCTTCAGTTCCACCCTCCTCGGTGCCTTCCATTGTGCCTTCAGGCCAGCCGTCCCTGTTTCCTTCGTCAGTGGCTCCATCCTTCGCACCCTCAGGCGCCTTCACAATCCTAAACGTGTATGTGCACGAGGCCCTCGTTGGCGGGGAAAGAGTGGGGAATTTCGCCCAGTTCTCTGCAGAGGGTAGGTTTGTAACTTCTGCGTCATATCTTGCTCTTTCGGCAGATGTTGCTGCGGATGCATCAGTGACCAAGGTGTTATTTGAAATCAGTGGAAGAGGAACTGCTGAAGTCACCGATGATAGTATATTCGACGATACATTGTGGAATTATGGTCTGTTTTGGTCTAGTGATGAGGGCGGTTCCACGTTTGATGTCAAGGTGACTCCTTTCAGGGGTGAAGTGCGTGGGGCGCATCTTGAAGTGCAGATCATTGTGGATTATTCCCCTGCACCCTCACAAGCTACGATGGTGCCTTCTGTTCCACCGTCCTCGGTGCCTTCAGATGTCCCATCCTTTGGACCCTCAGACACCCCATCAACTTCACCTTCAACACTCCCATCCTCGGTGCCGTCCACTGCGCCTTCAGAAACACCTTCGACACCCCCATCCACAATCCCGTCCCTTCTGCCTTCAACACCCCCATCCTCTGTCCCATCCTTTGTGCCTTCCGCTTCTTCGTCAGTGCCTTCAAGTATGCCTTCAAACCCCCCCGTCTCGCGTCATTCAACGCCGCCGTCCTATGCACCATCCGCTTCACCTTCTAGAGCTTTTACGATCGAGTCTCTTACTTTGTACACCGATGGGGACCATATGAGCCCTCTCGGCCCTTCTTTCCAACGGGTGGCTCAAACGCGCTTTGTTCCCAGTGGCACTGAAATTGTTGGCATCTTTGCCACTGTTAATGACGGCTCATTGGGCACTGTGCGTTTCAAAATCGAGGATGTGACTAGCACCACTGAGTTTCGTTCAAGCTCCAACATCAACATTTGGGACCTCGGAGATAGTATCTGGGATGGGGAGGATGAACCTGTGGTAGTGTCTGTCACAGCCACCCCAATCTACCATGATAATACTGAAGGCACTTCCCTAACAGTGTATATCACCCTAAAGCCCCCACCTATCGTCGACAGTTTCACTCTATATTATGGGGGTCAAACTCTCAACCAAGTCATTACAGGTAACACAATCGTCCTTCCCTCTTCTGCGATTGGGGTGTGGGCTGATGTTATTGGTGGCCAACCAGGCCTGGTGGAGTTCGAACTGGTTGGAGGTCGCTATGATGGTTCTCTCACACTGGACAGCCCTAACATTTTCAACAATTGGGACTATGGGCGTTTTTTGGATGGTACTGAAGTCCCTGGTACACAAATTAGTATCACAGCCACCCCCTACGTGAATACAACCTCCACCCACCGCGTGAATTGGGTGACAGGGAGAAGTCTTTCAGTGTTCATCACAGTGGGTGATGCTCCAACTAATCCTCCTCCTTCGACTGACCCTCCTCCAACTATTGATCCTCCGTAGTCGGTCGGTTCTCCGAGACGACCCGTGTTTTTGGAGTTGTTTTGTGGGGAGGATTGTTTCCTGAACAGCTGCAGTAAAAAGAAAGAACGAATCCAACGTTCGGGGTATCAATAGAATTCTTGTGTGTATACTATAATAAATAAAAATTTCATGTACATGTGCGACTTTGGTTGTTCTGTCGAACACGTAGTTAGGAATGGAAGCCGACGAGGAGGACCCTACTGGTACGAGCAATCCAAATTGAGAGAAGGAATCGAAACTATCAAGGAATCAATCGGATTGTCTAAGAATGTCAATTGTTGAAAAGAACTCGCGTAAACACCAAAGCATGATATTGCGGTGCATGGTTTAGTGTCGGCCATCGAACGGATCCACGAACACTACTGTACTCCATTCCAGGGAATGTGTTGTTCGTCCGCAACGCACAGACAGAAAAATCTCAGAAACAAAGCCAAACGATACTGCTACTACTAGTATTGCTGGTTTCTATGGTTCCATACTCTTGAAGCGGATTGAAATACGTAAAATTATAACAGTTGAGTCGGGAGTACTGGAGGTGGTTGAGTCGAGTCGTCTTCTCATGGTCCACCTTGAGATTCGATTTTCTGCTTCCGCCCATCATCATCTTTCTGTCTCTCTTTCTCTACAGATCAACTAATTATTGATTAATTAATGCAACTGCATTCCACCTTGATTGGCTTGTTGTGCCTTGGCCGCCATGCGTCCATTCATGAACTCGTTGGTATCCATCCACTTGTTGACGGCGGAATGCACACACGACACTTGCGACGAGGAGAGCTTGCCATCTTTGGGGGTTCCCGTAATGCACTTTTCCATGGCTTCCTTGGTAATGTCCGAAATGATGCCCTGCACCAGAGTCTGCTGTTGAATGCTCGCCGCAAATTGTCGCATATCCGCCATGCCGCCGCCGCCGCCAAGAGCACCACCACCCGATGAGGCAGAATACCCAGGATCACTGTCAAACGCACTCGACGAACTCGTATCTGTGAACGTCTTGGGAGGTTCGTCGTCGCTGCTACTGGAAAACCAACCCATGCTGAATCTATCTATCCACTGACTGAGCGACAGAAGAAGCTGTGTCACCAATACAGGCTCCAAGACAAAGATGAGAGATGAGCTGTTGGTGGTTGGCCTGTTGGTTGCTTGGTTGGTTGGTGGGAATTTGAAAAGGGTTGGGGCTAAAATGTAAAACCACGATTTGAAGGCGAAGCACTCACACTTACCGTTTCAAACGTTGCAACACTGTTCCAACGTTCCAACCCCATGAAAAACTTGGCGGTCAAGGTCTTGGACGACTCGACTCAGGGATATGTACGGTAGCGCCGGCTGTCTGTGTTATCTAGCTGGCTAGCTAGTAACCGTCATGGACCATGCAACACACTATCCATCCGAAGTCACAAAATCCATTGCAAGATTCAAGAAACGAAATTCCAGCAAAACATGAACAACCGATTGGACGAGCTACCATCCTTCATGGACGACTCTGCCACGGTGAATGATTTGTCCCTGACGTCCCATCGGTCTCTGCCGTCCAGCAACAAGAAATCGTCCAGCAGCAAGAAAAAGACGACAAGAGCATTTCCCAAAAAGCAAGATTGGAAGAAAATCATCAAGGGAACAACAACCAAGAAGAAACACTCCAAAAAGAAGAAGATTGAAGTGGTCGTGACACCGGGGGAGGAACGCGCCAAGTTAATGGAACTCTTCTATGACAATGTGGAAAAGTTACAAAAGAGCATTGGGTCCATTGCCAAGGCTGCCAAAACAATCCACCGCACCACGCGAGATATTCTAGAAAAGACGCTGTCGTCGCAAGAGGAGAAACAGCTGGATGCCCAAGCTTGTCGTCTCGTCGAACAAACCAATCAAAAGGCACAAATGATCCGGGCACAGCTAAAGGGTATTCAACGGGAAACCAAGGAACTACGAAAACAGCAGCAGTTGTTGTTGGTGGAGAGTGACTTTCGGATCCGCGACTTTTTAACCTCGGCATTGACCAAGCAGTTTGTCGACGAGCTTCGCCGGTACCAAACCGCGCAGGGGCACTACAAGGTCAAGACACAACAAAGGCTCAAGCGACAGATCCGGACCGTACAACCAAATGCTACGGACAATGATATTGAAGGAATGATCCAGAGGGGAGAAGACCGGGATGCCTTCTATCAACAAGCCATTTTGGCACCTGGAATGATAAATGATCGGATACGGTACGTTTCTTACTTTCTTTCTCAGTTTGTATGCCGTTGCGAGTCAAGAATGCAACTGGATATCTTATGCACTGACCAATCTTTCGTTTCTTCTTTTTTAGGACGGTGCATGAAACAGTGTCCGAAAAGTACAAGGCCATTCAGCAAATTGAACAGAGCGCTGCCATGATCCAAGGACTCTTCTTAGATCTTGCCCTTCTCGTAGAAGAACAGGGCGAGCAGTTGGATCAAATTGAGTTTCACGTGAAGCAAGCTGGAGACTACATTGAGCAAGGCGACGAGGAACTACACCAAGCCAACGAATATGGCAAGAAAGTCCGCAAGAAGAAAAGGTAAATCGTTTTTGATGCAGTTAGGTTGGAATGCGCTGAAGCGGCGCCAGAATGCTCACGGTTTGTCCTTTTTCCATCTCTTGTAGGATGATTCTGCTCATTGTCGGTGGAGTGGTGATTGTGCTTGCGCTGATTGTTATTTTTTGAGAAGATGCCAGGCGCCGTGCGGGAAACGAAACCCTGCACCTCTAGCGCAAGAATCCGACGTCAACATTCAGTAAACCATAAGATAAGCAAGGCAATACCGGTACCAGACGCTCACTTAGCGCCGCAACACAACGGTAGCGGTACGGTACCAGCAGGTAGACTGTATTTGGAGCTTTCGCCTTTGGGCTCCCTACCATTCTGGTTTTTGCTAAAATCGTACCGGTACGATACCACCAGCACCAGGCAGCCAGGCAGCCAGGACAGCCGAAAGATTAATCCTGGAGCACGACTGGCTGGCGTTCTGTGACTGAATGCGTGTGGTGCGGTAAGTGCGGTACCGGTAGCGTGTTTTTAAAAGCGTACTGGTAGTGAAGTAGTAAAGTAAGTAGTACCTGGTAGCGGTAAGAGTCTCAGTCGGAGGTTGAGATGTTGAGATTTGAGATGAGAGGGTGATGGTACCGGTACACGTACAATCGACAGCTGTCATGCAAGATTGCGTGTTCTCCCATTCGAGCCCCGCATGTGCTGGTACCGGTGTTGCCAACCTGCATGCAAGCAACGAGAGAACAAAACAATGGTTCCACCTTCTGTACAAAGGTATCTTGGATCATAGCATGATATTTCTTCTAGCCTCCACCAAGGCGCTTCGTTGGTAAACCTAGTACTACCGTTATGCAAAACGACCATAATTCGTTTTATGAGCCAATCGAATTCAAAACGATACGGCACTAGAATAATGAGCTAGCTAGTGATAGAATCTGCTGTTGACGTTTCGCCCCACAAGAACACATCCTGGAGTAAGCAAGAACTCAGAGTCCTTTGTAATCCTCTGTTGGCGGCTTCTCTTTGGATGCTACCAGTATGCTCGGATGGTTAAGCGGCCGTCCAGCGGAGCCACAAAAAGGGACAGCTCATCGTTGGCTGTTAAGTGGGTTGCAGTTTCATGAGAACCTGAAGGAAAGCCGAGCCCACCAAAGCTGCATCTACCTAGCTTATGGAAACATGGAAACAACCAGAAGGCAGTTTCCTTCCAGCTTTTCCTCCCAGCCACCGTACCGACCCGGAGCCAGCTATCCAGATCAAAACCTAGGTGCATGTACCTAATACCAGTACTACTACCTGGCCTCTGGATCCAACGCATTTTTTAGTACGTGTAGCAACGTACATAGCAACACGGTGTGGTTGAGGAATGACGAATGCCCACAAAGACATTTAGTCAGAAGGTTTCTGCTTCAATGTCTTGGTTGTTGAGTCCTTTACTTAGTGATCAAAATCGGTATTGAACCCCACGACTACACAATGACCAGAAGCAGCGCAGTTCCTTATTGTGATTCGCTGCCAGACTATCCATTGAGAAATTTAAAATGCATTAAACAAAATAGCTTATGAGTGCACCCAAAGGAGTCACCGTCTCACTCCCGCCATGCCAGATTTCATAGGTGCCCGTCACTGTTTCACTCGAAAACCACATGCCACAAACGGTATCAAGTACTGTAAAGCTTCCTACCACAACACCGCACAACACCACAACAACACATCTTTCGTCTGTGTTCTTGCCGTACATTGTACTAGTACCTGGTACCATTGTACCATTGTATAGTACCACTTGACTTGCATTCGGTGCGGTGACCAACGCTTCATAAGGTTGGCATCCACTGATATAAGTCGAAGGAGCACCTGCCAAGAGGATCTCGCTGGAGCGTGTCAGAAGAAAAAGGCAATCGTTGTCTAAATGGAAGGTTGATCTTCATTCACAATCCGAGCGAGAGCTACTGTGTGGTGGAAGCCTTACGATACAATTAGTTCTGTTCCAATGACAGAGTCGACCATGGATGTTGTACCCGAGCGGATCTCGGAAGAGGAAGAAAAGCAAACCTTGGATAACATTATGGAGACGGGTAGCAGTAGTACATGTACTGCGGCAAGCAGCCCACCCAAGAAAAAGAAAAGCAGCCTTCACGACAGCACTGCCTGTGAGACAATGGCAGATTCCTACCATATGGGACTGGAGAGTGAAGCAGAGCAAAGACAATCACAGGAGCAAGGAGACAACCAAAGGTCCAAAAATGGGTGCCTCATTCGTACAGGAGCGCTCATGACGTTTGTGCTGGTGGTGGTAGCAGCATCCGTCTTGCTGGAACCGGTGATTTGGCAAGGCTCCGCCGTTTCTCCTCGTTACTACGAGCAAATCATTGAAAGGTTTGATGACAGTCTATCAGAAGAAACCAGGGAGAGGATAGATTCAGATCCAGACTCGCCACAGGCCAAAGCATACGAATGGACGTTGGATGATCCGGGATTTTTTGAATACCCCAACTGGAGGCAACGTAAGTTTTCATCCTCTAGCTAGGCTAGTTCGTATCCGCACCGTATGGACGCAGCAGCTTCATCGACTCACACGAGCCCTGGTTGTTCTTTCATTTGTTTTGCGGGCAGGCCAACGATTTGCGCTTGCCACCATCTACTTTGCCTTGAATGGACCCTCCTGGAGATTTGAGGACGAGAGCAAGGACTGGCTGTCACATGACAAATCCGAATGCGAGTGGCAGCAATATGGGGACGACAACAGTCCCTGTCGAAAAGATACGGACGTCTTGGAACGGCTCATCTTGTACAATATCAAGCAGTTTCAAGGCAACCTACCTCCTGAGGTCAGCCTGTTGTTTGGTCTGGAAGAAATCTCCATTTTGGAAATAACGACGACGAGCCTCTCTGTCAACCTGACCAGCTTTCTCCCGTGGGAGGATCTTGCCAACATGGAGGGCTTGAAACGGTTGGACCTTTCTAGCACTGACATGCACGGCTCCTTGATCCCTGGTCCGTCCATTGGACTGTTGAGTTCTTTGGAAGAACTCAACTTGTCCGACGGATCCTTGAGCGGAACCATTCCCGAAGAGCTATCTCTGTTGACCAACGCCAAGATCATTGACCTGCGAAACAATCAATTGCAAGGCAATGTTCCAGAAGCATTCTGCTCCATGCCCAATCTAGTTGAATTGAGGCTCGATAATAACCCGCTGGAAGGCGAGATTCCCACCTGCTTCCAATCGCTTCCCGACCTGATCGTTAGTCATGATGGTACAGAGTTGCTGATGCCATAGCAACCGACAAGCAAACAACTATTACAAGCAGCCAGCGAGGCCAAGCCTGACCTTGAACTCAAGGTCTGAAGCAGGTGCGGTACAGTACTTCCTTCTTCCCACCAGCCGCCTCGTTGGAACATACATCCAAAAACTAGTAGCAATAGATAGATGAACATAGTATAAGAGTAAGCCGACAGATGTCATCCGTGGTTTGCCTTCACTTCCAAAGGTGTATGTTTGAGGCTCGCCTACCGTACACCCCTACATGCCTGGTCCGATCCAAACAACATGCATCCGGGGACCCCTGGGGAGAATCTGACTATGGTGCGGAACGATGGCCGTCTTTGCCCATGCACCTCCCTCGACTACCGGCACTTCTAAGCTTCCGATGATGCACCTCTACTGTCTCTTTGACTGGATCGCAACTATCAGTCGCAGCGAGCGCAAGATCTAGTTGCTTACTCACAGTAGCCAATGAGAGCCAATCAATCAAGAGCTCCCTTCTAGCTCCTTCCAATGTGTGTGACGGTGGGATCTGGCAATCTAGCTACTACTAGTAGCCAGCCCTTACTTCTCGTTGCAGCGCCTCTGACACAACAGCGCAAACGCTGGCCAGGCAACGGCAGATGGGAGTGATGCAGTTGCCAATCGGGAGCATTTCTAACCGTTGCCTTTTTCCTCATCTTTGCGAAAGAAGCTAAAAAAATGAAGATGACGTGTGCAGATGCCTGCTCGATCAAATCCGATCGATTAGACAATATCCAGCAACAACAGTTTTCTGTGTGCCAATAGGAGTCTCACAACAAGAAGAGGAAAGATGAGGCGAGATAGGTCTGCTGTAGCTAGCTAGGATGACAACGCAAGGCACAATTGCATCCATTCTCGCTACTCCACTCTCCAACAAGCACGGGCTTTCCCACATACAACAGGAGCTAGCCAGAGCAACACGTTATATCTGTTCAACTAACTAAGAGCTGTCTAGAATGAGATTTGCAAGGCCGTTGGTTGTGTTTCTTGTGTGGTTGCCTACTCTGGTGTTGGGCCTGAGAGGAAGTCAATTGCAAAAGAAGAAGTCCATCGAAGAAGATGAACCTCGAAAACAAGAAGAAGACCTGCTTTTGGAAGATGCGGAACCATACGAACGCACCCTCAAGGAAATACGAAATGAGGGAGCTGACTGTGTGGAGTACGACACGGTTCCATCGTTCATTATTGACCATCCATTAACGTCTCAATTCTGCGGTTCCTTCGAAAGCTGTAGCGGCTGCTGCCGCACGTACAGCTGGCTGTTCTGTGATCCTCACAACGCCTTTCCAGAGATTCCCTGTGTCTGTGAGAACAGTTGGCTAAACAGTGCTCAGGGAGATGAGGACGCGGACGAGGACGACACTGATGGCAAGGAACCGCTTCAAGTTCTTCTACCCACACCCACGATGCCACCAACGGCTGCGGAGACAAACGTTTCCTTCATCCTGGCTGTGGGGGGTGATAATGCCGTCGTGAGTTCCAATGCTACAAATTCCACGAGCAATAACGCTACAGACATTGTATCCATGGGAAATGAAGGGTACTTTACCATTGAGCTAGAGAACTCCAATACCACTACCATGAATGCCACAAACGCAACCAATCTCACAGACAGCAGCACCCCGGCAACAACAACAACCACGAGTGTTCCATCCTCAGTCGCTACTGCCATTCCGACTTCCTCCGCACCCATTCCCACCCCTCTACCTGCTGGTGCCATCTCGCCCGATGCTTGCAGTGCGGGGTCTGCCATGGTAGATACCCTGGGTTTTGATAGCTTTTTCGAATGCAAAACATCGTTGGATTGTGCCAATCTCGTCCCGGTGGGACGATCCGGCATTGCGGATGAGAACGGAGTTGCCGCTCGCAAGAAGAATCGAGAAGACGACGAAGAAGAAGAGGACGAGGAGGATTTCACGGATAGCCTGGAAGGCGATGGCAGCGAGCAACTCATACTGAATGCGGAAGCAGCTCCTGTTCAGACATTTTGTTGCTTGGCCAGCATGTGTCTCTGTGGAGTCCCGCTGGGAGATTGGACTGGCAAGTGCGTTCCGCCCTACCT